GTTGTGCCAATGTTTAATAAATCGTACACTCCAAAACGTCAATACCATTACGCTTACCATTGAGCTAAAACTTCAAGCGCAAATTGATTCTTTATTAACACTTTCAGCGCTATTTTTTCACTGCTGTGTGTAGACCAAAAAAAAGGAGGATAATGAAGATAATACAAAACGGAGAACAAAATGAGCACAATGTGCACATTTCAGAAAGGGAGAACTAATTAATGCTTAATGAATAAAGTTAAATAAAAAGGTTAATTAATCATTGCTGGTTAGTTGAGCATTTTAAGCAATTAATTAAATCTTAAAATTCGGAATTCTTTAAAATCACTAAGCATTAAGTACAATTCGCTATTTTATTTTAGTATCTATTTTAATCATTTCACCCCAAGCAAGGCAATAATGCCACTGAGATACAAGGGGCTACTGAAAGTTAACGAGAAAAAAAAAGGTTTTAGAAGGAACAGAAAACCCAATTCTAAACATGAAACAAGTGATAATCCTCTACTCCTGTTCAAAATGCCGGGGAGTGATATGAACAGGTGATAGGCAAACCTATCAGAACATGAACAAATAGGGGTAGTAAGTGGATAGACATTGATACAAGGGATAGGGATTCGTAGAGATTCCACATCACTCAAGTAATGTGCTATGTACGAAGAAGGCGAATGCTTGCCACAGACCTGTTTTCTTTTCTAATGGTACTCCATGTTTTAACCACCTTATTGATTAAAAATGTTTTCCAATCTTTTGCAAGACGTAATTTAATTCAATGAATTCACCCCAAACAAGATAACAAAGCCATTAATACGCAAGGGGGCTACTGAGAGTGAAGGAAAATGAAAAGATTTTAGAAAGAACCGGAAAACCGACCCTAAACCGGAAATAAGGGATAAACCTCTACTCCTGTTCAAAAGACCAGGTAGGAATGTGAATCAGACGATAGGCAACCCTATCTTCTTCTATTGAGGTAAAAAATAATAATTAGTGAATAAAATTTCAGAATTCAGACGGAGAAGTATAGAGGTGAGTTAGCTTTTAGAAGGGACCGGAAACCCAATCTTGAACAGGAAATAAAGGTTAAATATCTAGTCCTGTTCAAATGACCGGGCAAGACTCTGCTTTGCGTGGGTGTACTTATTCAGGCAAGTTCTGCGACTGAACATAACTGAGTTGAAATTGAGATGTTACTGGGTTATGGCTGCAGGGAATGCAATGAGATCTACAACATATCCCGTACATGGTCAACGGTGTGTAACTCTAGTGAATGCGGGGATTAACGGAGTATTTAGAAACCTACGGAATCTTGCTGGGGTTGCACTATCTTGTTGGAAGAAAAGATAGTGAATATAGAGAAATTCAAACATGCAAGGTGTATACATGTCCCAGTTGGTGAGAGAGACTTCCCTGATGGCCATTGCGAACTCTAACAGAGGACGTCATGTCACAAGTCCCATCAGCAACTGAGATCTTAAGGAGTACCACATATATTGTAGCCATTGTGACTAGAACTAGATAGATGGTTGCTACCTCAAAGCAAGAACGTCCAGTTTGCCCTGATATTTAACCCATAGCAATATGGATTCACGCCGTGTGTCACATCTAAGGGTATTAGCTTTGGACCATCACTCTCATCTCGGTTCTTATACTCACACGATTTAAGCTGTTGCATTCTTCAGCCTTCTTCAGGTGTCCGATCAGCATAGATACACTATAAACCATAGGTTGGCTCTGTGGGTGTCGAAGAATCAGAAATGTGCCTGAGCAGGACTTTTCAACATGAATTAAGTGACAACCGAAGCAGAAGGTTATCCTCTATGAAATATTATTTATATATATATATATATATATATGTGTGTGTGTGTGTGTGTGTGTGAGAGAGCGAGAAAGCGAGAAACGGTATTTAAATGCTGAAACCTGCTGAAGAGTGTATTGATCAATTACAAAAACTTCATCGACGAAACCCTATAGTAGTGTACATTAATCAGCTAAGAGACAAATTTTATTTGTATTAACACACACACACACACACACACACATATATATATATATATATATATATATATATATATATATATATATAGTATTTCAGTGTTGTGAGTTCGCGCCATGCTTTCGACCGTGTGTCACATCTAAGCTACGCTTACCTAGATGGGTGACCGCATGAAGATACCAGGTGCTGTAAGCTTGGATGTGCGGGTGGTGTAATGGATAATGGCTCGAAATTGTTAATGTTTTCTATAGGGTGAAAGGTTCAAATATGAGGAGGTTTGTTTAGGATTGTGTGTTTAAACCTTTTTTAATTACAAATATTGATTGTGAAAAATAAAAATGATTTAGCTTATGCAACAAATATATATATATATATATATATATTATTATTATTATTATTATTATTTTATAAATTATTTTTAGTGTATACACGTAGGCCCTGTATTTATTTCTTCTACCGGCCTGAATACTCAAGAAAAATTAATAAAGATAACATTCCCTCCAACTGAATTCGAACCTGCGTATCCCTTTCCCGTAGAAACTACTGTCTGATCCGGCGTGCTTCTACTACTCGGCTATAAAGAGTGTTACAATGAAGTAAGGTTCTATTTTGACGAAATAAATATAGGATGTTCCAATAACTTGGACCGATTTTAAATGTGAATTAAGTTTAAGCGTCTAATGATTTTTTTCTTTTTTTTTCAGATTTAACAAGTCTTTGGCAATTTCAACCATGGAAAGATTAACAACCAAACAGCGTATTAAAGTTATCGAAGACGTTCGAGGATCGAAATGATAAAAATATATAGTTTTAAAGTATTCTATATTTATGGGTCAAAATGCTCAATATCAGAGACAGAGCGTATATAAACCTAAAATATAAACCTAAAATTTAAAAGTGGACACCGAGGACAAAACCAAGCGGCGACACACTTTTTTTTATAATTGAATGCAATCTTCACGCCTGAAGATTGCCTTCAAGCATGGAACAGACTGTCGCCGCTTGTGTTGACACCTTAGCATTCACTTTTAAATTATATATATATATATATATATTCGTTAAAACAATTCGAGTTCTCTCAGTCACTGCGTGTTTACCTAGAAATAAATACGCTTAAATTCACCTTCATCCCTGTCGTGCGCCAACGGTTTAAGGGTAGACGCCAATTCAGCCGGGTTTCGATCCTAGCTAGAGGCAACCGGACGTACTGCCACACTGGCGAGCTGTGATACAGCGAAACAGTCTGTCTGTGGATGACAATATATATATATATATATATATATATATATATATATGAGGGCGGTGGGTTAATCGGTGAACCCTGATGCAAATGTTGAACATGGACGCAAGCAGGAAAGTGACATATTCAACTGCAATTTCGACGAGTAGAGGACCAGTAAATAAATAAACTATTAGGAAATTTCCTGCTTAAATTCTTGGGGTAGAAAAAACTGAATTGTGCAGATTGTTTAATTTTCAATTCAAATGTGTCTTTTTGGAAAAGGACATTTTATGCAATAAAACGTTTTCTTCTCTCTTAAATAATTGCCATTATTATATTCGCTTGATTTTTTTAAAAAATCAATCTGCTAAATTAAGCTAGACAGAAAATATCGAAGTATTTGAAAACTATTTCTCTAGAGAGATTTTTAATATTACCAAACAATTACCATGTAACCACAGATTACCATATATTTTTTTTTTTATCTTAAAACAACAATAATACAATTGTATGCTTATATTAAATTTTAAAAAAATATATATTTGTTAAATAGCAATAATTTCTTCTGGTTTAAAATCAGTGTTCGCTCTTAGACTTCATGATCAAAAGGCCCTTAGCATTGTTATATTGAAATTTCCCGAAATATTTTTAAACTCTCATTAAATATTGAAAATTTTTTTTTATGGTCAAAATTGAACATCGAATTTGTTTTTCAAATTTAGAGCGGTCCTTTTCGAAAAACCAATTCAGCTTTGTACGAAAATGTTTAGATTAAGGAAATTAAATTAAATAAATAAATGAATAAATAATTCTAGTTTTGAGCTGGAAAACTTGGCGACAGTCGTCCCAAACCCCACCTACGCGACAAAGATGTAATCAGAGAAAGAAAGAAAGAAAGAAAGAAAGAAAGAAAGAAAGAAAGAAAGAAAGAAAGAATACAAAAGGGGGTGAATGGAAAAGGAATTTTCTGAAGGAATGAACCAAAAGGAAACAGAGATGTGCTGAAATTCGAGAAAAAAACAACTTGTTAGTCGTACGCGGGAGGAAGCTTTTCTACAAGAACAGCCGAAGATCGACTAGTCGTGCCTAAAAGTTGCTACTCTGGTGCTCTCAGTGCAGAAGTCAATGGCGGACCCTCCCTCTTTTCCCCTACTACGTGTGTGTGTGTGTGTGTGAGTGTGTGCGTTTTTCTGAGTGTATGCGTGTCCACCGCCCAGTTCTACATGCAATGATGGTTGGACGCAGTGGTGTAGGGACAGGGCAGCGGGGATGCAAGCATCTGGTTCGGGTTTAGCAAAAGCAGCATAAACCTATCATGACGACGATAATTCTGATGATGATTACGTGAACGGGTAGGAGAAGGTCTGCAGAATTTACACACAGACGCACGCGCGTGTGTTTGAGTGTGTTTGTGTGTGTGTGTGTGTGTGTGTGTGTGTGTGTGTGTGTGTGTGTGTGTGTGTGTGTGTGGCTACACAAGCTCATATATCGTAGTACAAACGCATTTGAGGTGGAGGTTGAAAACTCAAGAAATCTTTCAAGGCTAATTTAAACCTCCCCAAAATTTATTCAATAAAAAAATGTGAAAAAGCCAAAGAAAACGAGGAAGAAGGAGAAATAGGGAAAATGATATGAAGTAAAAAGTAGAAGAAAGAAAGGCAAATTGAATGATTTTTGTTCTGGGAAAGAAAAACAAATAGAAAAAGGAGTGTAGAAGAAAAGGTTGAAGGTGGTTAGATATTTTTATATTAACTTCTTATTAGTGAATGAGTTTGGGCTGGAAAGAGAATGGTGATCGGATGAAAAAGGGGAAGTTGTTAAGGATTTTTTAAAAATTGTTAATGTCGATAACAGTGATTTTTTAAGAAAGAAAGAAAGAAAGAAAGAATGCGAGAAAGAAGAAAGAAGAAAGAAAAAGATAGAAGGGAAGAAGAAAGAAAGAAAAAAGAAGAAATGAAGGAAAGAAAGAATACAAGAATAAAGCAAAGAGAATAGAATAGATTATAATGGAAGAATAAAGAGAAAAGCAACAAAAAGGAAGTCTACTGTGAAAGAAAAAAGTTGTTTTTTTTTTCAGAAATATTTAATAGTCAAAACAGCAATCTTTCCCTACTTTGCATCTTCTTCTTAGTCCTCTCTTTTTCTCGTGTTAATAACTCTCCTCGATTTCTCTGTTTTTGTCTCTCTCTCTCTCTCTCTCTCTCTCTCTCTCTCTCTCTCTCTCTCTCTATCTCTCTCTCTATCTATCTATCTATCTATCTATCTATCTATCTCTTTTCCTCTTCTTTCTACTCTTGGCTTCTCTCTGATCTCATTTCCTTTCACTTTGTCTCTCTTTCTCTTCATTTACTTTCTCTCTCTCTTATTTTCTTTTCACTGCGTTCCTCTTCATCTCTCTCGCCATCGATCCAAGACAATAAAAAAATCACTCTTTCTTTTTCACATCTTAAAAACTGAGTTGCGTTATCGTAATTTTATAATTTTCTTTTTTACTTTCCTTTCTTTTTATTCAGATTTCTTTTTGTGGCTTATTTACCTTAAGGGTAAGACCTGCACAAAAATGCCCGCCTTCTGTGTCGAAACTTTCTGCATTGTGTATTAATCGAACCTTTTTCAGTCTGTTATGAACAGGACCGATATCTACCTTTCTTTAAATTTATGTTACTTGTGTTCATCCTACATTACATAACTGCAATCATTTCCATCACGAAGTCAACCATCTTTCCTTCTTTTGATTTCCTTCCTTCTTTTTATTTATTTCTTTCTTTCTTTCTTTCTTTCTTTCTTTCTTCATTCTCGCTTTCTTTCACCCTTTCTTTTTTTCATTCTTTTTTTCTTTCTTTCTCCCTCGTTTTCTTTTTCTTTCTTTCTTTTGCTTTCTTTCTTTCTTTTGCTTTCTTTCTTTCTTTCTTCTTTTCTTTCATTTTTATTGTTGCCTTCTTTTTCTTCCTTTTTAACTTTTTTCTTTATCTTTCTTTCTTTTTCGCTCATTTTACGTAACCTTTCATCTATCTACCCATATATTTATCGATGTCGGCGGAGGTTATAATAAGCTGAGTACATTACCTGCACAGGGGTAAGACCCCATAAAGGGGATAATTTTATGAGTGGATACTTGCAGAGCTGTGTATAAACCGGACCTATGTCTAATCTTTATTAATTCATTGAGATTTTTGTTATAGAATACTTATATTCGACATTTAAATAAGCCAACAATGGCTCATATCCTTAAATGAAACAACTAACATAAACATAACATCTCTCTCTCTCTCTCTCTATATATATATATATATATATATATATATATATATATATATATATATATATATATATATATATATATATATATATATATATATATATATATATATATCGTCATCCACAGACAGACTGTTTCGTTGTATCACAGCTCGTCAGTGTGGTTAGATATTCAACTGCCTCAAGCTGGGATATATATATAGATAGATAGCGGTTTGGATTGAGGAATCGGAGAGCCGAGTTCGAATTCCAGTCGAATCCATTAACATTCACTTATGTGCTAATACCCTTGAGAAAGTCATTAATCCTCTTCTCCCCCCCCTCTCCATGGGTAAATAGACTGGGTTCTATAGCCTTAGATGGCAACTGGTCTAGGAGAAGGACAACTCTGAATTCAAAACCTGCGAAGGGATTTGGGGGGAACCTTGTGGTACGTAGTGCACCAGGGGCTCTGTATTCGGCTCTTCAAAAAGTGTGCTTGGTTCTGCACAAAGCCTTCATCACTATAATCAAATCACATGTACAGTTGTCTGGGCTGTTGATTCCTTGAAACTGAGCCGCTTGACCCTCATACGTCGAATACGACGTCCACTATATATATATATATAAGTTTAGTTTTATAAGCAGCAGATCATTAATAAAACATATATTGTTAAGTATAATGAATGTCTATTATGTTTGACCATGAGCCGTTGTAAGCTTCGTATAGTGACTTTAGTTTCGGGAGAAAATAAAGACATTTGATATTTTTTTTATTATGTTGTTCATCGATCTGAGCTTTCGGCTCACATGTCCATAAAACCATTTTCTCCTGAAATAATGCCACTATACGTAGCACAGAACTGCTCAATATATATATATATATATATAGATAGATACACCTAGTAAGCCAGACAAACCTACCTAGGTTTCACATAAACGGATCGTCAGGGTAAGTTTGGCTCGCCAACAACGGATATATATATATATATATATATATATATATATATATATATATATATATATATATATATATATATATATATATCCGTTGTTGGCGAGGCTTTTGCATAATACGACTGTATCACCTGTAAAGGGTAAGACCTTCACAAAAGTGTTCTCCTTCTATATCGTAACTAACAGAATTGCGTATTAACCGGACCTTTTTCAGTCTATTGTGAATAGGACCTGTATCTATCTTTCTTTTAATTCATTTTCACATATTTGGAATTAAATAAACTGACAAGCGTTCATATATCATTAGAATTAACCGCCCTAACCAAACCTCAACTATTTATGTATTCATCTATCTATTTATCTATCAGGATTTTGAGAACTGACCCGTCCATCTCTATCTAAATAAACAGTACAATAAAATAAAGAAATTCTGTTAAAACGCAGTACTTTTTCGCTTGTCCTGTGAACTCTGATGTTAAAAAATCAATATTTATAGAATCACAGACCAAGTTAGATAGATAGATAAATAGATAGATAGATAGATAGATAGATAGATAGATAGATAGATAGATAGATAGATTGTGTGAGTGAGTGATTGTAGAGCTATTGTGGTTTTTAACGTTCCGTTTTTTTTTTTTGTTTTGTTTTTTACAATTACAGGTATTCTGTTGCCTATTTTATTCTATTGCCGGCAGTCATTTATATACATTGACAGACAATACTTCCTGGGTTATCCCGGACTGTCCCACTGATATAAGCTAACAATAGTTGTAATGTATTTATTTTTGTTCCCGCCCTTTTAATTAAAGGGTTGTTGGGTCATGGAAATACATTTCATTATACAAGAAAAATAAACATTTAATTGAAATGTGTCCCGATTTGAAGCTTAGAAATTTATGGTAAGGATGTACGCGCGCAATCATACGCGCGTGCAAACGTGTGTGTACGCGCGTGCACACGCTTTTTCTTCTGCTATGTTTATACATATATATATATATATATATATATATATATATATATATATATATATGTAATTATATATATATTTATATATATATATTTATATATATATATATATATTCTGCTATGTTTATATATAGCAGAAAATGGATTAAATGCAACATATTGTTATTTTGAATTTATTTTGTTTAAACATTATTTTTGCTGAATGTTTATATTCGAGTAGAAACTCTGTTTTTTAATTTATATTTTTTATCGGACTACATCTACCGGCCTGTTGTAAAAATACTGAATTTTTTTTAATTAAAGAACAAAGCTTCTACTTCTAATATGAGTACCCATAAAA